CTATGCCCTGCTTCATTCTGTATTCCAAGGCCAAACTTGCCTGTTATTCCAGGTAGCTCTTGACTTCCTACTTTTGCATTTCAGTCCCCTATGATGAAAACGACATCTTTTTTTGGTGTCCCTTAAAGAAACACAATTACTTCCTGACCCAGACATATTCAACCATAAGGCAGTTGCTTTCTCCTCACTCTATTTTTGCCCCATTTAAAAATTTTTATGTATATATTGAATGTTATGCCTGTGCTAAGTGCTGTTTGATCACTGCACAATCTTATTTCATGCTTGCAGAAACCCCACTAACTAGGTTTCCTTATCCTCAGTTAACATATGAGAAATCAGAAGTTCTAAATAAGCAATACCTTTTGCCAAAAATCACAGGGCTCAGATACAGAATACTGGCCTAAGATCTCAGACTCCAAATGTTATGCTGTTATTCTCTACATTCTATTACTTCCATCTGCCAGATCTGTGGATAATGGGCATTGACTTTTTATTCATAATATTCACCACTGACATTATGTTACCCTTCCACTTATGGCCAGAAGACCTTCATACCACAAATACTTAATCTATTTATGCTTCATCTAGAAAAATGGTTATTATTTTAGCACCTACCTTAGAAGAAAGTTATGGGAATTAAGAGAGTTAATCTATGTAGAAGAATCAGAACCATGCTTGGCCAACTGTAAGCATCAGATTAGGGTTGATAATTGTTATTAGTGGGCTTCTCTTGTGGCTCAGCTGGTAAAGAATCCATCTGCAACGTGGGAGACCTGGGTTCAATCCCTGGGTTGGGAAGATCCCCTGGAGAAGGGAAAGGCTACCCACTCCAGTACAGGAATGGCAGTGGGTGGTAATGACAACAGTGGTTGTCAATGTACAACTACATTGTACAACCACAATAGTTGTAGTGGCTCATTTATTTGTTTAGGCATTTACTATCTGTCTCCTTCACTACAGCATAAGCTCCTTAAAGGCAGAAACTTTGTTTAGTTTACTGTGTATTCTCCTTGTCAAGAACAGCACTGAGGGACTTCCCTAGCAGTCCAGTGGTTAAGAATCCTGCTTCCAATGCAGGGGGCACAGGCTCAATCTAGTTAGGGAACTAAAACCCCATATGCCGTGTGGCATGGCCAAAAAATTAAAACTAGTGTAGAGCACACAGTAAAGCCTTAATAATCATTTGTTAAATGCATGAAAACATAAATGACTTCAAGCCTTCAAATTCCTTTTTCTGTGACTTTCGGGACATGAGAGCTAAAGTTCGCAAGGGGGTGAACACAGTCCCCACTGTCAAAGCTGCACAGACCTGCGCTGGTGTCCCCATTTGTCCAAAACCCCCATATGCCCAGAGAGAAAGTGGATACCACTTGTAATCTGAATCATGCTGATGGCCTTCTCTCCTGACATCTTCTTCCCAGAGACCCTGAGGACAGCTGAGTCATTCTTCACTCCCGTCACCCTGTCCTCCCCTCTCCATCCCATAAAAATGAAACCTCTCCTTCATTGTATTGCCCTAAAGCCTCCTTCTTGGTAGGTGGTATCTAATTACTCTTGCCAACTAACATGCTGTTCAAATTTTTCTAGCATCCTTTTCGTTCTAAGTCCTAAAAATCCTGATCTCATGTGACTGTATAGTTGTTTCAATTTGCTGTATGTGTGATGATATTAGTTTATCAAAAAATATGCTAATAATTGCCCCGTATCTGGTAATGAAGAAGGTAAAGAAGAAGGGAAAACCTTCATCCCAAAGAGGAGCTTTAGTGGTAGAACAAGGCTAACTTCTTGGGAGAAAAGTGTGCTGATGGAGCCTTGAAAAATCCCTGGTCAGCATATGGGGTTGGCCAAAAATTTCATATTAAGATCTTACAGAAAGATCCATACTAACTTTTAAAATCCATATGTACTTTTCAGCCAACTCAAGAGCTTGTTTTTGCTTCCTGAAAGTAGGGCTGTGGCTCTCTCATCCAAGCAGTTTCTTCTCTTGACTGTGTTAGAAACACAAGCTTCATTCCCAACTGGGTAAATCTGGAATCTCACTTGCTTCTCTCCTTTGCAAAGTAGCAGAGCTTCCTGAGAGAAACTGTGAGTGAAGACAGAAAAGAAGAAAGAACGCAAAGCAGGAGAAGACAAGATCAGTGCAGGGCGCGGTGGCAGGAGAGAAAGGGCAGGCCAGGCTGAAGGGAAACGGGAGAACAGAGAGAGCAGCGAAGTGAAGAGGGAAAAAGGAGAAAATGCAAGGGAAAAGCGGAGAGCAGGAGAATGAACATAGCAAGAGGATGAAATGAAGAGGATCCCACCAGGCGCTTGAGACCAACCAGCAGAGAAAGGAGGGTGAAAAGAAAGACAGGATGCAAATGCAGTAAGATGTGGAGGAGCCAGCTGTCAGTGCCCTAGGTGAGAAAGGCTTGATCGTAAATAAAATGTGCATTGTTCATTTATAACTCCGATGGCTTATATGATTTATGATATATCTAGGTGTTCCGTTTAATCTTATTAAGTTGCAGTGCTTTTTAGTTAAGCTGGAATCTGGCTGAAGGGAAGAATGTAATTGGAGAAAAGAGAAGCATTGCCAGCACACTCTATGAGATAAAGGAGACAGTATGTTTGGTTCTCTACTTTCTTGACACCACTCTCCTGTTATCCTCTCCTGATGTATGAGTTGCACATCTTCTTTCATTCTGGTCACCAGTCTCTCAGGCTTTATTCTCAAACAACAGCATCCGAAATCTGTGCTTCTGACCTAAGTATCTATTGACAGATGAATGGATAAAGAAGGTGTGGTACATATATATACAATGGAATATTACTCAGTCATTAAAAGGAATAAAATGCTGTCATTTGCAGTAACATGGATGGATCCAGAGATTATCATACAAAATCAAGTAAGTCAGAGGAACACAGGTATTATACTATATTGCTTACATGTGGAATCTAAAAAAATGATAAAAATGAACTTACAAACAGAAATTAACTCACAGACATAGAAAACAACTTATGGTTATCAAAGAGGAGAGATAGGGAAGGACAAATTAGGATTTGGATTAGCATATACACACTACTATATGTGAAATATTATAGCTTGTAATAGAAAAGAATCTATAAAAGAATATATATAATAAGCTGTAATGGAAAAGAATCTATAAAATTATATATATATATATATACACATGTGTGTATATATATATATATATATATATATATATATACACACATATACATCACTGAATCAAGGTTTCCCAGGTGGCACAGTGGTAAGGAATCTGCCTTCCAAAGAGACATGGGTTCAATTTCTGGGTTGGGGAGATCCCCTGGAGCAGAAAATGACAACCCACTCAAGTACTCTTCCTTGGAAAATTCCACGGACAGAGGAGCCTGGCAAGCTATAGCCCATGGGATTGTAAAGAGTCAGATATGACAAATGACTGAGCACAGCACATATAACTGAACCGCCTTGCAGTATACCTGAAACTAACACAACATTGTAAATTAACTATATTTCATTAAAAAAACAATCTGTGCTTCTTAGTGTAATAACTGATTTCTAATAGCTCAAGGACTTTTGACCTAATGTTGCCAGTTGGATTGGGGCAGTCTCTCCAGAAGGGCCAGATTCAATCTAATGCAGCTTTCGGTTGTCCTCCCGTGTCCCCAAATATTGCTTTAAAGCTACTGACTTCAGCTGAACTTATTACACATGCTTGTTCCTTTCTAGTGTTGATGAGGACTTGGGCAGACAATGCATTTTTAACTCCAACATGAGTGCTGGGCTGAATGAATCGCAAGCTAGAATCAAGATTGCCAGGAGAAATATCAACAACCTCAGATATGCAGATGACACCACACTAATGGCAGAAAGCAAAGAGGAACAAAAGAGCCTCTTGATTAAAGTAAAAGAGGAGAGTGAAAAAGCTGGCTTAAAACTCAACATTCAAAGAACTAAGATCATGGCACCTGGTTCCATCATTTCATGGCAAATAGATGGCAAAAAAGTAGAAAGTGTGGCAGGTTTTATTTCCTTGGACTCTAAAATCACTGCAGATGGTGACTGCAGCCAGAAATCAAAAGATGCTTGTTCCTTGGAAGAAAAGCTATGACAAACCTAGACAGTGTATTAAAAACCAGAGACGCCACTTTGTTGACAAAGGTCTATATAGTGAAAGCTGTGCTTTTTCTAGTAGTCATGTATGAATGTAAGTGTTTGATCATAAAGACTGAGTGCAGAAGAATTGATGCTTTTGAATTATGGTGCTGGAGAAGACTCTTGAGAATTCCTTGGACAGCAAGGAGATCAAACCGGTCAATCCTAAAGGAAATAAACCCTGAATGTTCATTAGAAGGACTGACGCTGAAGCTGAAGCCCCAATACTTTGGCCACCTGATGCAAAAAGCCAACTCATTAGAAAAGACCCGGATGCTGGGAAAGACTGAGGGCGGGAGGAGAAGGGGTTGACAGAGGATGGCATCACTGATTCAATGGACATGAGTCAGAGCAAACTCCAGGAGATACTGAAGGACAGAGAAGCCTACCACAGTACAGTCCATGGGGTGGCAAAGAGCTGGACATGACTTAGCCACTGAACAACAACAATAAGTGATCACATAATTGTGAATTACGATTGGTGATTAGGATTTGGTGGTTCTCTTCTGACAGTCAAACCTGCTTGTAGCTTTCAGAATTCATGCTCAATGATGGCATTAAACACTAAGAGCCTCTCATCACAAAAGGACACCATGTACATGATTATCTTTCCAATGGTTAGATCAACTCATGTCAATGTCATGTTTAATATTTAAATACACTCTATTGTCATTTGTATCTGTTTACTCAGTGGTCATCTGCAGAACCAATATGAATTATAAACGGAGCTTGTAGGGCGAAAAAATATATTGAAAATCACTGACTTGGACAGACTAGTGAGTCTGCTCAAACACCTGTCCTCCCCCCTCCCACCATCTGTGTGATCACTTCACCCTCCAGCCTGACGACTCACCCCTGCAATTATCCTGTCAAGAGGAGAGTGAGTGCAGCTCAGGTGGACTTAATAAGTGTTTAATATGGGCAGCTGAGTTTCGTGTTGATTTCCTTTAAGTAACTGTCTTCTTCCTGAAAATCCACGTTTATATGTCTCTGCTTAATTTGGTTGATGAGTCCATCGGCGGCAACAGCCAGGTTCTATGTTTTATAAACAGCCTAGATCAAACAAGCAGAGGGCAGACTGTCCAGAGCTGTAAGTAGAAACAGAATGATGCGTCATTCACAGGTTACAGTGAAGTTAAAAGGAAAGGTTAATATTTTAATGCATTCTTAATTCTTTTCCTCAAATTCTCCATATAACAACCACCTATAAATAGTTAGAAAGGAGAGGGAAGGAGCTGATATGTAATCCTGATCTACTATATATCAGGAGTGATGCTAGAGTGTATATTCATTTTATAAGAAAACTTTCACAGTGAATATTTTAAGATAAGGGACCACAGGGGCTGAGAGTTGAAATATCTTGGGATATAAGCCTAAGTCTGTTTGCTTCAAAAATATGTATTCTTTCTGCCAAGTGGTCTTGTCACTTACCTAATGATAGCACATCATCTGAATGATTCAACCGTCTAAGGGTCTCACCTCACCGTGCATGATATATGATGCTATATTTCCTGTAGAAGGCAAAAAAATAGTGATAAAAAATGGAAATTGTCTACCCAACTACCTAGCCATGTCATTAGAACTCAAAGGAATTGCATGGCCATAATTGCTCTATTTCCATCCATTCATGTTTTCTTCACCAAAAACATTTTGATTGCCAGCTATGTGCCAAGCCCCAGGATAGACATTTGAGATAGAGTGATAAACAAGATGGAAACGTTCAACAGAGGACAGCAAAGCGTACATTGACCTCTGGATTCTGAAGTGGTATATGGCTCCTAGAGGCCTGCCTCAGAGGATGAGAAGTCAAGTACAAATAGCTGCTGCTTCTTTGAAATAATTTATGAGATTGAAAGAAGGTAGCAGGATCAGTAATGTTTCTATTTAGTCGGCTTAAAATATTTATTTTATTAGATAGACTTTAACCATGATATTTCATAAATATGAGGTAAGTCATTAAAGGAAAAGACTGTGGTTAATTATCTGAATTCATCAATGAGCATATCCCACCGAGTACCTTTGTATTTTGCAGAGGTATTAAGGAAAGGCGTCATAGGCCTTCCGTTTCAATGTACAGCATCTCAGTACTGAGCCAAGAAGTTCCTATTTAAATAGTAAGGTACTTAGAATCAATCATTCAGCAGCATGAACAAGTCAGAAGTCATTCCCAGGGGAAAATATACCCACCTTCCCTGGTTTCTGAGCCACGAGTAGGGAGTGGCATTCATTTACTTCTCATCTTAGTGAGGTCAATCAAAAAATCCATAAGAGATACATTGAGTATGTCACATCAATCTTTGTGCTGTTTGGATGAAATGAGCTTTGTGTTGTTCTCAAATTAGACACTCATCATGCATAATTTGCCCCTTACATAGAACAGCTGCTGGCTTTTACAATGCTTTCCATCCAGTGCTGAGTGCACCCATTGTTGGCACTACTGTGAGCATTTAGTCAGTTCTGTGATATATGCAGCCCTTGATTTGATCATAAAACATAAAAAAAGCATTACCTAGAGAAAAGCATGGTACATTGATCTTCATCTAAAAAAAAATAACTTTGAAGTCATTATACTAAAAGGCTATTATACTGGAAAGCTATTTTACTTTTTAATTAATTTTTAAAGTTTTAACATTAAATATTATTCTGTGACTATTTACAAAAAAAGAAGAGGCAGTGCATTTCTCATCAGTATGTTCAGAGAGGCAACTGAATCATGAGTATGGGTCTCATGGATAAACAGGGACTCAGGAAATCATGAATTATAACTCTAAAGCTTGACATAACACACTGTCTACTTTCACCAACTATAAAATTGGGAGAGAAAATCATCAACAAGCACTAACTGAAGCACTTAAGGATGAAAACTGTTACCACGTATATACAAAGTATAGTTCTCAGAGTACAGTTTGAACTTTAAACACCATCATGATGTGGAGCCAGTAATTGGAGGTCTTTCAGTAGATTCTATTTAGGGTGGTTCAAGTATTTGAGAAGTGGGAAAGCTTGGGAGGCTTCTCATATAATCATTACAAGCAGTTGTCTATGCCACCTTGTATTTTGGGAGTGTATGTATTTCTCATCTCTAATCAGAATCATTGTTTTACAAATAACTGAGGAAAGGAGAAACCTGCAAAGCCACAGTGAGTTAGATAAGGATAAGATATAAGTAGCTCACCAATTTATAAACTTCATTCTTAATCCCACCCAGCTACAAAGAGAAGTAGAAACTTAATAAATCATATTTTAGATGATAAAGGGTAATAAAAACCATGTCATAGGCACAATTATTTTTTTTCAAATTATACAGGTAAAATTTGGCTAAGAGGATATATTCAAATTTTCACTGTGAATGTTCACTATTCTTGTTAAATTGGCTTTCCTAGATTGTCCTATATGCTGTGTTCTACAAGCTGTTCTACCATGCTTTTTCAGACTGTTCCACACATACTGGAGCTGTGTGTTCAGAAGTGATGTACTTTGAAGAACTGTTTGGGGAGTTAGAGATTACTTACCTCTTCCGTATGCATATTTGTACTTATGTGTGGATATGTGTACACATATACACATGCACACACAAACATATGAAACAGAGTTCATTAAACAGAATCCTTTTATCAATAGCATTTGATTGAATTCAGCTTGTTGTTCTGAGCATAACTGTTTTATTTAATTCAGCTAGTTTTGTCAAGTTAATTTGATGATGTAGACTCAATTTATATTCAAGACCTTTAATTTATTTATTCTGTTTCATGAGGCAGAACCTTGTAAAATTAAATTTAAAAATGATCATAAAGGATTCTCTACATTAATTCTCTATATCTAGGAAAAAACATACCTAAAAATAAATAAATTATTTTTTTAAATAGCTAGCAAAAGTTATTCTAAGAACCACAGGTCTTAGTTTTCTTCGTAGCATCAACTTTATGGATAACTGCCTTGTGACTTATTCTATTTGTAGAAATGTAGGAGCATTCACATAAAAATACATACAGAAAAATTTCCCATCAAGAATCCTTTCACCAAAGTCAGTCAGTAATATAGGAAATTTTAGCTTATAAGTAATCTCTAAAGGCAATTTAATGATTGGTTATAACATAACCTCCACTGAAATACATGGACTTTAAAGAAAAAGCCTTTAGGTAAATGTTTAAAAAGGAGCAAAGAAAATTATATTAACAAATGTATTTAAAAGATCTCAAACATGATTTTTCCATACTTTCAAATGATATATTGAGATGGAAGGAAGGAAGGGAGAGAGAGAAAGAAAGAAAGATTATGTTTCTACCATGAAAATAATGGGCCACGGTTACACTGACTACCTGGAGTGAAGGCTGACACTCCACATTAACATAATGATATTGAATGTTCTTTCTGTCATTTTTAAGAGATGCTTGGCATTTAACATTGATATCTTTTGAGAATTTCTCTGAAGGAAATTGAAATTATCATAGAGTAGCTGCAAAACTTTTACTATTCAGGCCAACCTATTTTTTTAAGCCATATTGTTCTTCAGAAATTGTTTTTGTTCTCTCTGCTAAAAGGAAAAGAAAAAGAAAGTCAATGTTGAGATGAGTTCATTGCAGTGTGTGAAAACTGGGAAAATATCGTATTTGTATAATTTTATGTTGATAGCATTGTACATGGGTCCTGCCACAGAGACTGCTTAAAAAGAAGCTGAGTTGGATGACTGAAAAAGAATGGAAAACATCTATTCAAAGTCAATGAAGAATTTGAAGAATTCATAAAGATTTCCCACTGAAGAAATTCAGAGAGAAAAACGAAATCTGTCCAATATTATGTAAGTGAGGCATATATAATTGGTGCCTACGTGATAGTGTGTTTCCCACTCTTTCTTCTGTTTTGCTGTGACATCCATCAGGGTTTTGTCACAGGGAGCCACCAAGGAAAAAGCACTTAAATACACAAACGAACACTCATGTTCAGAGCGGAAGGACTTTCAGCATCTGCATCAGTCAATCCATCTTAGAAGAGGTTTCAGTTAGCAAGATGGGTGATCAGCAAGGCATAAGTTGAGAGAGGAAGCAGGGAGCCTATTAGGGACATTTTCATAAGTTCTAAGATTCATAAGGAGAGTTATTTTTAAAAAATCAGGTGAGCCATTCTCTGATTTTCAACTAAGAACCGAAAACTGGTTCATCCGCATATTCAAAAATTATTACTGAACACCTTCTGCATGCCCAATATCATTGTATCTATGTGCCAGACCATATACCTATGTGTCTACCCATATACCTGCTAGAGGGAAAAAACCATAACTGACATGTTTTCTCAGATGGACACATCTTAGGAAGATAAATAAAAGCAAGAACCACAAACAATAGCCAAGTGTTATGTACTGTATGCTTGTGTCCTCCCCTAAATTCATGTTAAAACCCTAATCCCCAATGTATTTGGAAGTAGGGCCTTTGGGAGGTGATTAGCATTAGCTGAGGTCATGAGCAAAGAACCCTCCAAATGGGATGAATATCCTTATAAGGAGAGACCAGAAAGCTTGTTCTCTGTCCCCCATGTGAGGCCACTGCAGGACAGCAGCCAGGATTCCCTTCCCAAGAACCTGACCATGCTGGCACCCTGCACTGGAGAATTTCCAGACCTCAGAACTGAGAAATAAAGGTCTGCTCTTTAAGTCACCCACGCTGTGACATTTTGTTACAGCAGCCCAAGCAGACTCAGCGAGCAAGAGAGGGAGGTACTTTCAGAAGGCAGATTTCAGCAGTAGGACAACACTACCTTGAGATGGTCATTAAGGCCTTTATATTTGGACAGTTTATTTTATCTATAATTTTTAAAAAGGAGTAATTGATTAACACCAAAGCAGATTAATAAGCTAGATGGGACTAAAGCAGTATAGTTCATGTGTCTCAATGATGAAATGGTGAAAAGAATCAGGCCTGCTTCTGCTTAGCCACTGAGCAGCTTAACACGTGGCTTCAATTTCCTAACCTGTCCGGGCCTTGGGAACCTCATCTGTACAGCCACAGACCCAAATCCTTTCCGACTCTCCCTATAATTATTCTGAATCCTGCAGACACCTCAGATATGTGCTATGGTCTGGGATGAAAAGGTTTGGCTTAGCCCTAACAATGGCTCACTGAAAATCTATTTCCATTCCTAGAGAAAATAACTCGCTACATGTTCCATCATGCCTGAATTATTAAATATGGAACAGAGAACCCTCAACTTTTCTTGCAGGTATGAGTTAAGGAGACCACAAAACCCAGTTTGCCAGGCTGTGCTTTATAATAGCTTCTAAGTTACTTGCCTTGTTTTTATAAATGATTTTTTTAAAAGCTTGTTTTAGAGATTATGCTCTCAGCTCTAAATTGGAGCAGATCCATTAAAAAAAACACCGTGTTCTGATATACATTAATTTTTTTTCAAACTTGATGTTGAATCTCAAACCCAAATCAGAAGAGAAAACTTCCTCTTTACTCCGAGTTTAATACAGGGCAGATTTTCCATGAGCCAAGTTTTCAAATATCTGCTTGACTCAGGGAGACCTTGCTCAGTTATCTGTCAGTATTGCTCAGATTCCAACAAATGTCTGAGATCAGACTCATTCTGAGCCAAGCCAAGCTTCTTAACTCGTCCAATGTACTCCTCGTGGAAATACGACTGCAGTTTAGGGAGGATTCAAAGACACGCTTAAGATGAATGGTACATATAATCATATTTACCATTAAAATATAATTATATCAATATGATAAACATTTTGAAGTATACGATGGCAGACACTGGAGTCTGAACAAGATAACTGAGACACATTTTCCCTGTTGTAAGCATATTTATATGCCTTTTTTTTTTTTTAATACATGCCTATCTTTCAAAACATCCCTCGGGTTTATCCTTCTAAAGCTTTCACCTGGTCTGCTTGTTTTCCTCTGAGATGAGGTCCCTGGGGTTTGCAAGCACTGGGCGTGTCTTCAAGGGCTGCAATGTCTGTAAGGATTCAGAGTTCAGTATCTCAGAAAGGAATAAATACAGAACCAGAAGAACTTGTCTGGAACTAAGACCTTCTTTAGGGATAATGAAAATCACCTAATGTATGTTATTAGCATTTGGGTTTCAAAGCAGAATGCTTTTTATAAGTGCTTGCTTTCAAGTTTTCTCCCTCCTCGTAGCTGCAGCACTTTGTTAGGGCTTGGCTTCTTTCCTAAACAGAAATTATTTGTATGCCCAGAAATGAAATACATCACGGAATCTCATGAATGCAGAGAGATATTTTCAGATCACTCAGTTAACAGATGCATCCTTTCTTACCACCCTTTATACCCTTGGAACTTTAGAAGAGGGCTCATTAGTGTCTAAAACTAACAAACCTATCAGAGCTTCCTCTCTCTTCTCAGCGAATCAAAGAAGGTTTTAAAAAGATCGTCATTTTTGTGTTACTTCTCACTTCTACGGGTTTGAAACTGCAGCTGTCTCTTATAAATTCTGTGTTCTAACATAGAAGGACTCTTGCCCTTGCCATGACTTTTGCCCTTGATCCCCCCTTTCTTTTTTTCCTGGCATGCCTCAAGTTTCTTTCAAGAGTCATTCATTGTATTTCTGACCGGATTTCGTTGGTTGTTGGGCTCGTCAAGTCCTGGCCTGCATTGGCTTTTCCCAGCCAGCGCTTCCCCTCAGCTCTGATTCACTGCTCATCTGCCTGAGCCCCAGGCAACAACCAGGGGGTGGGAGGGGGGTGCTCTTTCTCCAGCTCAGGCTGCCCCCCACCCCATTCTTCCTTCCCACGACTCCACCCTCAAGTTCAAGGCCAGCCTGCAACTTTTTGAGCAACTTTCAAAAGCTCCTGGGCCTCCTCTCTCTCTCTCTGTCTCCTCCGTAAGGGGCGGTCGGAACGGAGCCAGTTCACATCTTTTGGAGTTGAGATGGGCAGCAGGAGCCTTGGGTTCTGCCTGCTGGAAGATTCCTGCTTCCTTGTGGTGGAGATCGTGTGCTCTTCTGAGAATCTCTAGAGGGGCTGTCACTCTCTGCCAGGTTCAGAGGGTTTTTTTTTTATTGTCTCTGTCAGTTAGCAGCCCAAGGTTACTGCCAGCTCTCTGTTAGGGCTTTGATTTTTGTCAGCTGTGGCCAGGTCCTTTTAGTTATCTGCTATCTTTTCAGCTTTGTTCAGCCTGAGCTCCACTTGTCTACTAATTAGCTCTTTGGAGATTTCCCTTTAAAAACCCACTATCACAGAGGACAGGAACCGTTCAAAAGTTTTGTGCTTCATAGAAATTCCATATTCATCCATATCGCGTATAGCCATATTTTTAAAATTAAAACTGGCAGGTCAGGCCAATTTAAGGTATAGAAGTAACATCGTCTCTAAAGGGAGACCTTCGGGTTCTTGATCAGGTATGGAGATGAGTGACAGGAAAAGGAAAGGGGTTTACATCAAAAAACACGGAGGGGTACAAATTAAAAAGGAACGATCACTCTGGATAACATATTCACATTTTCTTTATCTTCTGGTGTGCAAATATTGTGCTAGCTGAATATAAAAGTAGCACAACTTTAGGTTACAAAAAAAAAAACCACACTGTAATAACATCAAGAGTGGTCTTACATCAAGGAGGGCCCTGAGGATGTCTTTGTTGTCAACTTCAGAAGAAAAGAGAGGAACAGAAGAGGAAACTGGCAGAAGGAATAGATGCCAAAGAGAACTCAAAGGATTAGGTCCGGGTGAGGTGATCGGTATTCGAAAACAGTCTGCCTTCTGGCTCTGATCTAAGGAAATAGGCTGGCAGCCAAGCCAGAGGGCATAGCCGCACAAACACACCTCAGCACACTGCTTGAGGGTTGCCTCAGTGCCTTAGAAATTGTGCTGGCAATTAGAAGGCTCTGTGAGAGCAATAGGCAAAATACTTGATTTCTTGATAAAACTCTGCTTTTTACATAATTCCTAACCTGGTTGTCCCCTCCACACAAACATACCTTTTATTTTTCCCTTGTTTGCTTTTTTTTGTAGGCTCCCTTCTTTTCCTAGGCTCCTGAGTCCATTTTCCTTCTGCTAACTTGGTGCTGTTGTAGGTTGCACTTACATTGCATTTACACACTGTTAATGCCTGCAAGATGAAAGTAAAAACCTTTGAATATATTAATGCTATAACACAGATGTCTTACTTTTTACTCTCTTTTTTTTTTTTTTTTAGCAAGTTGATGTGGCTAATAATGATGCAGATTGTGCTGGATGGATGTGCAGATGAAACAGGGGAATACAGATTAAATAAAAATTTCTTCAAAGCTTACGTTTGCTTCATAATTTAACTTCTGGGCTTGTCTCAGTGGTAGTAGGTGTGGACCAGGCATCACAACATTGTTCTAAAACATCTTGGCATCACAGAACCACAAGCAGGCAAACAGCCCTGCTGCACTTCTTCGAAGCCAGAGGAAAATAACAATAAAGAAAATAAAGACTGTCAGCGGCTCCGTACACAGGGACCTGACCCAGATGCTAATAATGTGGGAGCTGAGAGAATCAGGGACAGAGGTTCTGGGCTTAAGAAGTAATCTGCTCATATTCTGAACTTGACTTTTTGTAGCTATATTCCATGCATCTGTAGCCTGATGTTGAATGAGGTGTGTGCCAGAGGTGGTCACACACTCACTCTGGAAACATCCATGGAATGACTCAATGAATCATTGAGCTCTCTTAAACAATGAATAAAAGGAGGGTATTGATGACATAAGGCCTTGGAGAATACAGTCAATTTCTCTTTCACATATCTGTTCATTTAAGGAGGATTTTTCAGTATGCCACTCTGTGCCAGGGGTCTTGCTAGGTCCCCAGGATATAAGGTCAGGTGAGACACAACCCCTTTCCTCAAGAAACTCATAGTCCAGTGGAAGCAGAAAACCTGTACTATCAACTTTTAAAGGAATGAAGAAATGCCGTGGGTTCTCCCGGGAAGGAATAGCACTGTCTGCCAGGCCAAATGGGGCAAGGTTGCATCTGAGTTCTGCATCTTTAGTGTGTGAGGAGAAATGTGAGGACAGACAAGAAGGAGAAGCAGGTGCTGAGACCTGGAATCATGGATGAGCAGGACGTCAGCATGGCCGGAGCTCAGGCTGTGTTTGGGGGAGGCTGAGTGAGGCGAACAGCATGGTACGCACTAAGGTTAGTCATTGAACCAGGCTCCACCGAGCCTCCTACACGGAACTAAGGCTTTTAAGAATTTACACTGCAGGCAACAGAAAGCCAACAGAAAGCTTTGCCAAAAGAAAAGGGTGACACAGTCTGATGTCTTTTCTGTGATAATTAATGGCTGAAAGGAAGGACATGGCCCCTCTAGAAGAGACTGTTAGGGACATGTGCGATTCTCTAGACTGTGATGACCACAGTCAGCTGAAGAAAAGAGGCTGGATTCAAAATACACTATGGAGAAACCTAGAGGAAAATTTCTATCCGTGACCACCTTGTCCCCTGTTCCTCCTGGAAGATCTCACGGCTATCTTGCAGTCCCAAGGGAACTTGCTGGGAATTCCAAGCTCCTTTCCAGGTACACGGCACTCAATGCATAAGAGTCTAATAAGATACATGAAAGAAGCTCACTCATCTTCCCTCTTACACCGTGAGCTTCGTGAACACAGATGACAGCTCTGCCTTATCTCCTCCGTTACCTCGGACAGCATCTAAATAGAGCACTAAGAACATAAACTTTATGTTGTTTTCCTGAATGAATGACTCACAATGAGTGATAAAACTGAACGCAACACCTCCCAGGCCCCAGACTGTAAAAAAAAGCACTGTGTTTGCTTAAAGTAGTTGCTGGATTGTAAAATGTATTTACTTTTTTAATTTTGAGAGAGGGGAAGTAGTCAATTTATTGTGAACAGTTAAAAAATGCTACCCTCTGGTACTTTCCGGAAATGAGTCTCCGCCTCTTTGCAGAAATAAAACTAAGTGTATGTTATTTAGGTGGTCACCTAGAATGCTGATTTCTTGGCTTCTCATGTGACACAGAGGAGGTGTGTGTGGTTACACGGAAGATGCCCTTCAAGAGGGAATTCCAAGCTCCTTTCCAGGTACACGGCACTCAATGCATAAGAGTCTAATAAGATACATGAAAGAAGCTCACTCATCTTCCCTCTTACACCATGAGCTTCGTGAACACAGATGACAGCTCTGCCTTATCTCCTCCGTTACCTCAGACAGCATGTAAATAGAGCACTAAGAACATAAACTTTATGTTGTTTTCCTGAATGAATGACTCACAATGAGTGATAAAACTGAATGCAACACCTCCCCTGCCCCAGACTGTAAAAAAAAAGCACTGTGTTTGCTTAAAGTAGTTGCTGGATTGTAAAATGTATTTACTTTTTTAATTTTGAGAGAAGGGAAGTAGTCAATTTATTGTGAACAGTTAAAAAATGCTACCCTCCGGTGCTTTTCGGAAATGAGTCTCCGCCTCTTTGCAGAAATAAAACTAAGTATATGTTATTTAGGTGGTCACCTAGAATGCTGATTTCTTGGCTTCTCATGTGACACAGAGGAGGTGTGTGTGGTTACATGGAAGATGCCCTTCAAGGAATGACTATCCAGGCCTGGGATTTTTGGATGAGTGGTTACATAAGAGAGGAGATTCATTGCCTTCTGCTGATATTATTAAAGAAACACTAGGTGGGTGTGGCTGGCAGGGACTGTTGAGTAGGTTGGGCACTGCACCAGGACACTGCACCAAGGGGCAAGTGAAATCGAGAAGTTGTGTTGGTCTTGAGGGGGGCTTTTTCTTAATCATAGCTAAGAGCTGGATGGGAGAATGGGATCCTGGACTCGAGTTAAAATGACTAGAATGAATGGAAAAGGTTATTGCTGGGACCAGTTTCATAGACAAAGACTCAGTCAAATCTATGCCCTCCTCCCCTGTCTGTATCTTGTCCTTTCAAAGTATCTTTCCCCCTATTTTTTCTCAGCAGTTTTTGAGCTTCATTTCAGCCCTGATGTTTGGACCTTCTCTCTCACACCCAACTTGGCTGGTACGGCTTCAGAGGGACCCAAAAGGAAACCGACGCACACGAGGTCCTTAAACACGACTGACACCGCCATCTGTCAGGCGCCAAGGGCATCTGGGAGAGATGTGCGCCATGCTCATCTGGCCAACTGGTCAACTGCGGGACCCTAATAATTACATTATTGAAGCCAGAGCACCAGCCACTAGATGAAACTTCAGACATTACTTATGGATGAAATGAGGTCAGAAGAGGTCAGAAAAAGACAGGAGATGAGCTGGCCATGACAGCTGTCCAAGCTGCCCTTGAGATGCAGCTCACAACATTGGAGCCAGAACTGCATTTTCTCTTGGAGAGGAGATTCTGCCCACCAGAATCGCTGCTGCTGTGGTGTTTCAACCCTGCGGCGAGTCTCCCAAGCAAAGCAACTCTCCTGGAGGAGCATGCAGGAAAAAGCCAGCAAACACTGCTTCTGAAATGTGGAAAGCATTAACCTCCGTTTCTGCTTGTCTAGTGAGCTTTACTGCCTGGCTGGGAGCTCCATGAGAGGAGCTATTAGCATTGTGGCAAATCCTCAAGCATCTCTCTGAATGAAAGTATGCACACAGGCATGAATGAACAGACAAACAGATGACTGCAAAACGCATAAACCTTGGTGCAAAGTTGAGGAGGGAGCTTTCTCAGAACAAATCTCATGGAAGAATAAACATTTTAAGTCTATGTTTTTTTGGTTGTACAGTCAAATATAAAGGTCTACCATGTGAGTGATAGTTTACTGTTGTTTACCTAATTTTCTAGAGGAGAAATACAGTTAGAAGTTGAGTTGGAGAATTATAACAGGATTTACTCTATCTTAAACATGAAGCCACAAACAAAACCTTAAAACAAAATCATTCTGGCCTTTTATGAATGGCCCCTTATCTAGATCCAGAAATAAAAAAAAGGGAATAGGTCTAGATACTTATATTTATCCTTCATAAAATTTCTAGTTTCTTGCACAAGAAAGTAACATGTTGACTTGAAAACTGGTGACTTCATTAAGTTTTGCAAAGCACCCTTTTCATTTCACCTGAATGCTGTCCCAATGATAGCCACAACTTAGAAAGAAATACAAATATAATACACACATTCTTTGTGAAAAATACTAAGTAATAGTAATCTCAAGGAGCCAAAGATTAAAAACAAGAGTTCCCATTTCCAAGTATACTAAATCAGTCCAATTTTGAATTAACACTGTAAAAACATGTCTAGAGCTTTACACTTGTAAACATAATGAGATGAAGAATTTTTCTGTCTGAAGAAGCAAAAACTGCATTTCTAAACTGCAAGCCCTTCCAGCGCATTGTTCTATGCCAAATGCAGCCTCCTTCTGTTGCACTTTATGTTAATGCTATTCTTTCCACAGATGAAAGTTTCATTTAAAAAAGAGAAAAGGTACAGGAATATGTAGATGGTATGGTAGTGATGGCAGGGAGGAATAGCAATAGTTTATGTGGTTTGGGAATTCTCTTCTATGTCACCATCCCTCCCCATCCTGTGAGTGTAGCAAAATAATTGGCCAACATAATTAAATATGAATCCACAGAACTTTAGACTCTGAACGCAGGATCAGTCCTTTGATAGGTTAAAAGAGTGCTTCATCCAGCCCCTCATTCCGAAAGCAAAGTGGGAAACCTATACTGCCTTTGATTTGTGAAAAGATGCATCTGCTGTAAATAAGAAGCACCTACTTGACATTTCCTTAGAAAGACATCTGAAACCTTAGAATTTATCACAAATGCAGTGGGGGCATCATAGTACAGTACAGTCCTTCAGTCCCAGTTTTCCCCAGCAGCATTCATATGTTCTTTTTTTTTTTTAATATATATAATCCCCAAATTTATTAGCACTAAAATTTTTTAAAAATATTACCTCTTATAAACATATTTTTAGTGAGTGAAATATATATAACATTTTTCATTTTAACTTCTTTAACTTTTTATTTTAGAGTATAGCCAATTAACAATGTGATAGTTTCAGGTGTATAGCAAAGGAATTCAGCCTTAAATATATAGGTAACCAGTCTCCCCCAAACCTCCCTCCCATCCAGGCTGCCACACAATATTGAGCAGAA